ACTCAGTAATACAGTTAACACTCAGTTTACACTCAGTAAAACTCAGTTTTTACTCAATAATACAGTTGTTTACACAAAACTCAGTTTACACTCAGTAATACAGTTATTATCACTGCACATGTGACTTAGCTGAACCTATGTATTATTTACTCAGTAATTTGTGGCCTTCTCAAGGTCAAGAACTGGTTCACATTCAGTTTGGGTTCTTAGCATATATTACTGAAAGAAAAGATGTGGTGAGAGATAAATAATGCTTAGGAATCTGATGTCCTTTAAGATTGTCAGTTCAATGATGTGGTCTGTTTTTGCTTAAACCTGAGTTGACAATGTTTTACAATGAAAGAGGTTGCATTCAGGAGCCAGAATTACTTGGTAGCTTGAGCAGGTTATACCCAATTCATCAATTTGTTTGTCAGTCATAACTATATTCAATAAATAGTTATTGAGCATATGTGCCAGGCATTTGGTTAAAGGACTGAAGATATGGGGATAAAGTAGACCCAAATGGCCCGTGTTCTCACAGAACCTTATAGTGCAATGTAAAAACTCAAACTATACACAATCATATAGCATGATAAAATTTGTGATTTGGGGAGTATAGGTAGCTATGGGAACACCCACAAAACCTCAGATTTGCATTTCATGAAAGCTTCTGAGAAAAGGTAATATCAAGAATGAGGCCAGAGGATCAATGAATGTTAAGATGAACAATTTTTACTAATAAAGCATTAACTGAACATCAAGATTGACTTTACAGTCTAATTTAAGCCTGTATCACTATTCAAATTGGGTCTTAATTTTATGAAAATAATTAAATAAGTTATTTGCAGTACCATGTAAGTTTAACCAAGTTTATTATCTGTATTCTGATTTGTTTTGCCAAACAATTCAATGAGATGTACATTTTTATGAATGAAATCTTTCTCTATACCAGCTGAATCTTAACTGCAAGAATCTTTGAGGAGCTTCTATAATCAGTTTAACTTTGCAAAATTTTACTTTTGGTGTTCTTGGATATTTAGGTTTTAGAACATGAGCACTTCTTGGCTGTGATGAGTGACATGAATATGGCTTTACATATGTTAAAGTTTTTAAAGCTTAAAAAATTCCTCAAAAAACTAAAAATGGAATTGCCATATGATCTAGCAATTCCACTTCTGGGTATCTCTACAAAATAATTGAAAGCATAGTTCCAAACATGTTTTTGTAAATGCATACTCATAACAGCTTTACCCACAATAGCCAAGAGGTCGAAGCAACCACCAGATCATCTACAGATGGATGAAGAAACAAAATATGGTGTATACATACAATGGGATATTATTCAGCCTTAGAAGGAAGGAAATCCTATAACATGGTACACTATGGAGGAAACTTGAAGGCACTACGAAGTAAGCCAGTCATGAGAAGCAAATACCATATGATTCCACTGACATGAGGTGGAATTGTCAAATTCATAGAGTAGTCAAATTTATATAAAGTAGAATGGGGGCTGCCAGGGGCTTAGGTGAGAAAATGGTGAGTTGTTTAATGAGTAAAGGGTTTCAGTTTTGCAAGATGAAATCAAGATCGGTTGCATGCCAGTGTGAATCAACTTAATATTACTGAACTATACACATAAAAGGGGCTTCCCTGGTGGCTCAGATGATAGAGAATCTGCCTGCAAATGCAGGAAACCCAGGTTGGATTCCTGAGTTGGGAAGATCCCCTGGAGAAGGGAATGGCAACCCACTCCAGTATTCTTGCCTGGAAAATTCCATGGACAGAGGAGACTGGCCGGCTACAGTCCATGGGATCGCAAAGAGTCAGACACAACTGAGCAACTAAGTCACCTTCATATGCTTAAAACAGTTCAGATGGTAAATTTTATGTGTATTTAACAACTTTTAAAAAATCCTTTAAAATTGGAGGTAATGTTTATGGCGATGGTTTATGTTTATTCCATAGCCCTGCGGTGAGAGTGGTGAGATACGAGAGTCAGCACTAGTGGGGACTCAGCTCATGAGTGGTGTTGGGGGTCACTTATCAGGAGGATAGGAAGCTTGAGCTCTGTTAGGTGGTCAGTGGGAGCCACTAGGTGTTTTAAAGAGAAAGACTCTGTCACTGTAAGATTCAGAAAGCCAGCCCCTTGGCATATGTACAGCGGCCGTCCTGAACCGTTTTGGCACAGGGACCAGTTTTGTGGAAGACATTTTTTCGCTGGGCTGGGGTGGGGCAGGGATGGATTCAGGATGATTCAAGCACATGACCTGATTATCCTGCCGCTGATCTGGCAGGAGGTGGTGCTCAGGCGATGGGGGGCAGCTGCACACACAGATGAAGCTTCACTTGCTCGCCGGCCACTCACTTCTGTTGTGCAACCCAGTTCCCCGCAGGCCACAGACTGCTATTTGTTCGTGGCCCGAGGGTTGGGGACCCCTGTTGGCAAGGATGCATGGGAAAGGGGCAGCCTCGGCAGCAGTCTGTCCAGCCCAGAGGCTGTTGCTTTGGTCCAGTTGAGCGCTGCAAACTCGAACGTGGGCAGAGGTTAACGGAGGTGGTGGGGGATGAGGACCGAGGAGGCTCAAGAGCTATCTGAGACAGAAGTGAGGCAGACTCAGTGATTTATTGAATTGGCAGATGGTAGGGGGTAAAAGAGAGGATGGAGACTCACTGACTCCTACTTTGCTGGCTCGGGGGATCACAGAGATGGCAGTGCCTCCCAGAGAGAGACCTGAAGAGGGGGCAGGAGTCGTGGAGGGGCTGTAGGCTGAAAGCCAGAGACACTAAACTGGGCATGTGTGTGACATTATTCCATTTCCAGTAAACACCACATAACTGATCCAGAACGAATATTAAGCTTGATTCATGTTTCTAAGTCAGATGACCTTCCCGAATTATTCATAGAGCTAGGAAAATAAAAGTATGGTATTTTGTAATGCAGAGGAATGTTCTAGCCTCATTTTGTTGTCTATCCTCCATGAAGTACATTTTTTTTTTAACCAAGCTGCTGTAGGCTTGGATTTCATCTTTTGGGAATGGGGGCGGGGTGGGAGGTGCTTTATGAGAGTAGAAAGAGGATTCAGATTCCAATTACCTGGACAGGGTCCCGGCTCTCATGACCAGTACGTAGGGGGTCCTGGACAAGTCTCTTAACCTCTCTAAATGTCAGTTCTCTCATAAGTAAAATGGAGCATCATAGATAAGAAGAATTGCAGTGAAAGAAATAAATGAGAGTCCTTTGCAAACTGCTTCATGATATTGTCAGCTATAATTTTTGTTTTGAAACTGATATTAAGCTTGGAACATTGTGGAAAGCCTCCCTGGAAAATGCAAGTAATGATGATCAACTTCTGAGCAAGAATGGACTCCAGATTAAACTGCCAAAACTGAGTGGTTCCTCTTGTTACTGTCAGTTTATGAGTCAGCTGGAGCGCTGTGATGTCTAAGAAATCATATTTTTCACCTAAAAATGACAGAAACATAAGCATGATTTTGTAAGAAGATGTGTTGTTAGTAACCTGATGTGATAATAGTACCTGTTGGTGATGATACTAAAGGGGTACTGGGAAGTGGTAGGCATTACAGGTAAACCTGTTGTGTTATGTCGGTGTTTGGACCTCTGCCCCTGATACCCCTTTGCCATTCACAGGGAACAAAGGAAAAACAAAGCAAACTAACATTTTATTAGCTGGGTTGTGTGTGGGATATAGAGTGTTCCCTTTTTTCTTTCCCAAGTAGACTAATAGCCATGAAGCAATGAGACTCTAACAATGGGGTAGGTCTGAAGGAAATGGGGTGAGAAGCAAAGAGAGACAGAAAAATGGGACCCCCAGGCCAAGGCTGGAGATGGAGATTGACCCATGGCCGTGTCTGCCCTCCAGAGAGCATGCCTTGTCCTGACCCTTTTGTCTCTCTGCCAGCTTCCTTAGGTGTGCTTGGAAGACCCAGAGGAGGGCCTTACTGTTGACAGAGGATGCTCTCACTATTACAGGCATATGGAAGGAGGATGACAAAGAGCAAAAGGGACCAAGAGAAGGAAAGATTATCTGTTTCCCCTCAGGGAGTCCTCTCGATATAATGTAGGCAGATTTTTTTTTTTTTTGCCTTGATTTTTAAGTTCTTTAAACGAAAACTCCATCTTTGGAAATTGTATTTTTGCCCTAGAGTCTAACTAACCCAAATCAACACTCCTCCTCCTTGGATATGAATTGGCTGCTGCTACTGCTAAGTCACTTCAGTCGTGTCCAACTCTGTGTGATCCTGTAGACGGCAGCCCACCAGGCTCCCCCATCCCTGGGATTCTCCAGGCAAGAACACTGGAGTGGGCTGCCATTTCCTTCTCCAGTGCGTGAAAGTGAAAAGTGAAAGTGAAGTTGCTTAGCCGTGTCTGACTCTTAGCGACCCCATGGACTGCAGCCCACCAGGCTCCTCCGTCCATGGGATTTTCCAGGCAAGAGGACTGGAGTGGGGTGCCATTGCCTTCTCCGTCTTTCTTTGGAGACCAATACAAACAATACAGGTGGCAGAAATTTTATCCCTTATTTCCTAGAAAATTTACAACTTTCATACTTCCTGAGTCATAATTAGATTCCCCAACTGGTTGCATCAGAATTCTGTCTTCTTGCTCTGTACTTTTTTTTTTTTTTCTTTTTCACCTTTGACGTAACATTTTTAGCACATATTTAGCTATTCTGATCCTTTGGAGGGATACCTCCTCAGCTACTTAGGTAAATTGTCTCAGTCTCATTTGTTATCACGCTTCTATGTTTTATAAACAGAGATAGTACATTATAGACAAAGACAAGTCATCAGCATCGGTTGGCATTGATGGTTGGTTCAATGTGGCTTGCCGTTGACCTGGTTTATGGTGACCACCCAAAGGGGCTGAAACAAAGCCTGTTGGGTGAGTCAGCAATAGGCTCACACTGTGTGCTGTAAATGAAGTGAGAATGTGAAGTTCAGAATGGTAACTTTTGCAAACACTCATGCTTTTTTTCTCTTTTTGTCTTTTCTCCTAGAAGTATCGCTATCAAGATGAGGACGCTCCACACGATCATTCCTTACCTCGACTGACCCACGAAGTGAGAGGCCCTGAACTGGTGCACGTGTCAGAAAAGAACCTGTCTCAGATAGAAAATGTCCATGGATACGTCCTGCAGTCTCACATCTCTCCTCTGAAGGTCAGTTCTATTGCTCTTAGAGCTGGCGGCAGGGGATGGTATGCTTTGCTAAGGGAGATGTCTGCTGGCTTAAGTGGGGCTCTTTTAAAACGCTATAGTGGGACATGGTTGCCGAAGGGTCTTTCTGTGGTTTGGAGGTTTACCTGGAATTCCTGACACAGGACAGTTACTCTTACTGTTATGTAAGTGTCTGGAAAATCCTTTTAGCTTCTGCACATGGGCCAAGGAGAGACCAAACACTGAAAAACTGAATGGGAAAATACACTGATCCGTGTATTTACGGAGCCCACAAGGACATCAAGATTTCGTTCAAATCATATCTCTCCCTCTATTTGCTTGGCTCCAGATAAATATAACATGATGACACCTAGTAATTGCCTTACCACGTATACTAAAAAGGAAACTGTGAGTTGTTTCATCAACAGCTCTATTTTATAATTCTTTCTATTTGGTGTCATACTTTTCCAATGCTTTCTACATTTTTTTTCCTTAGATTTAAAACAATTTTTTGGTAAGTGCTATTTTGACAGGAAGGGACAATGAAATGAGAGTTAAGAATTTTCTGTGTTCCTTGGTTGCAGTTTACTGTGCTTTGCTGATGCTATGGGATTTTGTGTCTTGGTAAAAGCTTATAAATGTTGATTAAAGTCAATTAAAGGGAAAGTGGAACTAGAGTCAATGATGTAATAGGAGCGAACTTAAATGTAAAACAAAACAAAAAAAAATTACCAAATAGTCCCTTGATATTGCTAAAAACTTTTTTTATTTTGTTAGCTAGAACATTCACTTCACTGGCACCTTCATAAAGCTGTGTTGCAATAAAAAATGTAGCCATGAAGGTTGCCCTGATGCCTTCTGGGATCTTATTAAACCTTCCAAAACATCAGAGAAAGGTTATATTACGTTTAATATAGTTCCAAAATTTGGTACATTTTAAGTACCTTGGCAGCCTAAACCTGCGTTATTAAATGAACTAATTCTGGTTCCCACACATTCATTAGAATATTAGGCTAATTATCAAATTCCAGTCAATATTTAATATTTTGCTGTTGAAACTCATTGTTCATTTCTTCCCAGAAAGAAAAGAACTCTTTTCCAAAGAATTTTCTTTGGTAATCACTGATGGATGGGAATAGGTATGCTCAGACAGGAGAAGAGGAGATAAAAGCATAAAGAAGAGGGATTTACCTTCTCGTACTTAGGGCTGTCATGTCGGAATCATATTGGTGGGCTAAGCACAACCACTGTGTATAATTAATAGGAATGTACATTTGGGATCATTATAAGACCATAACTTATGTCAATTAGAGCTACCTCCAAAAAATACTGTTTTGTAAGTCAGGAGTTCCCTGTCCCTAGAAATCATCCATGCTTGTCTGATGACCTAGAGGTAATATAGAAGAAAGGACTCCTTCTTCAGCAGGAGAGCACAGAGTTGTCTCTAAGGGTTCAGTCTAACTGTAGAATTCAGTGATTTCATTCCAGGATCAGATGAATCTCTTCCTGCTTTAAGCACCTTTCATCTTTGAAAAAAAAAAAACCAAAAAACATTGCTCACCCTGAATCAGTACTGACCAGTGTAAACTGAGAAAGGGCAGAGCTGGGAGCCTGGACTGCAGAGAGGAGTTGCACTTCAGATGTTTTTCTAACTGGATGAAGGAATTCCTATAAGAACCTCCATGAAGCCTCCCCTCCTTTTAGGCCTCCCAACTTGCCTTTTCCCTCTTCCTGCCACGTCCTTTTTAAAATCAGCTCCAGAGCAGAGCTCCCAGTGGCTTCAAGACGAGAAGGATGACGGCGGCTAGTCTAAAGCTAACCTGGCAACAGTAAAAAAAAAAATGAACAAAATAATAAAAAGACTGTCAGATCTTCATTTTGTATGTTACATATTCAGCATATACTTGATAATCTAATTATCTGAACGTCTGCAGTTTGGGGGATTATACCATGTGTTATGCGGCTTCATGCCTCATTTGGAAAATGTCTATTCAAGTTGAAGGCAATTTGTTTTTTTCTGAAGATCATCTCTCAGATATAAAGAAATCTTTCCTCTCTCCCCTTTATCTCTTGACTCCAGGAATCTCAGAGTTCAGTGTCTTCTACTTTGGTTGTTTTCTTCAGCTTTATTTTGTTTCAGTTGCTCCCTTCTATCTTTTTTCTTACTATGTTCTTTATTTATTTATTTTTCTGGTGTTCATGGTTTTACTGTAGTGATGTCTTTTGTTGAAGATTTCTCACATCAGTTTTAAAAGTAGGCACCTGTGAATACTAAATCTCTGATATGAAGCATCAAGGTTAGAACAGGCTTTTCTTCCTTTTTGGAATTACCAGCTAAGCAGTGTGGCCCCCCAGTGTATTGTAAAGAGAATGGAAAGGTGACCTCATCCAGGGCTTCCGCACCCAGCCTGCGAGTTAGCTATTTTGGGGCCAGGAGGCTTCCCTCATGACCCTCTAGAGTGTTGTTTGTGCTGAACAAGATATACTATTAGATTGTCTTAATGAAGAGTCTGTGTACCTTTCTTCTACTGGCAACAGTGATAGAAATAAATGTGCACAATTTTTCCAGAAAAGAAAATAGCCCATTCTGTTGCGTTTGCCAATGTCACGGTGTATACACTGCCATCATGGCTGATTTCAGGTTACCAACCTGAGGCTACTGAACGCACTTACAAAGATGGCGCATGAGCTTCTCATGAGACAGGACGAGTTGGCCCCAGCATGGCCGTGCATGATCAGACTCAAGCACATGTACTTCTATAGTCACAGTACACATTCCCTAATCAAGTCGTGAAGAGGTTATTATATTATCACAGTTCAAGTGTTTGGAAAACCTGCCATGATTAAAATCTAATGTGTTATTTTCTCATAAAGGAAGCCTATTAGAGTCAGAGATATGCTAAGAGGGTACAAATTCTCCATTAGACCTGGCACAGTTTCAACCTTGTTGCTTCTTTGATCTGTCTGGTGCTCTTGGGTCAAGCATTAAAAGGAAGAAGAGTGAGGAGACAAAACACACAATTAGATACCTCCCCCTGAATCCTACTTAGAAAACAGCGTGGGGACTTCCCTGGCGGTCCAGTGGTTAAGACTCCACCTTCCAATGCAGGGATTGCAGGTTCGATCCCTGGTCGGGGAACTAAGATCCCACGTGCCTCGTGACCAAAAAACCGAAACATAAAACAGAAACAATATTCTGATGATTTTAGTAAAGAATTTAAAAATGGTCAAAATAAATCTTAAATAAATCCTAAAAAAGATTATTTTTCAATAAAAGTAGTATCAAAATATTATCATCAAAATGAGTCTTAAAAAATAATAGACAACAATGTGGTTCTCTAGTATTAATTAGGAATTTACAGATGGCATGCCTGAACAGAGTGTGAGATTGCTGGAGAACAGTTTAAATGTCGTGTTTAGTGGGCTCCCAACAGTTAGCTGAGTAATCTTCCTATTGCAGGTTTGACAGTCTTTCTCCCATTGCTGCGTAGCACCTGAAACCTTGGTTCTAAGATTCATCTGCCTTTGGAGCACCCCTGCTGCTTGGCGGATAGATGGATTGGTTAGCCTGTTTCTATTAGAGCACCTAGGCCAGTGTGAAGTATGGGGTTGGAAGGAGAAATGCAATTTAGCAGTGAATTGGATAGAATTTGTTTTCTTGGCCTCCAGATGGGGATGTGTTCTCTTCAGATGCTGCCTTAGAGTCCTCCGGGAAAGAAACTGGCCTGTAATAAAGCGTGAACATTTTCTTTTCAGTTTAGATAAACTCAATAAATGTTAATTGAGTATCTACTATGGGTATCATAATAGGTGATGGAGACACAAAAGACAGTAAAGTGTGATTTTTAAATATGCATGTTGCTCTCTGAGGGAATCTGAGTTCTAGTTATGTATTGCTCATCCTTACTCTGCAAGAGGAGTTCAAATTCCTGAATCTTAGGCACTGTGAGACCCCAGGCGTCTATCAGAGTACTTTTTACAGAGTATCTGTTAGCGCTCTATCTCAGGTTCTTCCTCTGTAAAATGAAGGTAATAATAATATTTATCTCATAAGATTTTTATACTAATGAAATAAAATGACACATGTAAATTGCTTAGTAAGTGGCTGGCACATAGTAAGCACAACCAAAACTTTGTTTTTGACTTTGTTTATTATCATCAACCTGCTACCATGACAAATACCTTACAATCTTTTATTTTATTTGTCTCACTTGACCTCAGTGAGGCATTATACCTGATTTTAAAATCCAATAGTTCCCTTTCCATCATAGAACTAGTGGAAAGGAATGTCGTCATTGGTGTCTCAGATCTTTCTGGTTCCAATATCTGTATTCTTTATCACTCCTGTGCTATATTACCTTCCCCTAAACTATTCTGCTATTTTTAAAGAGATCTTAGGGTCAAATTGTCTTTCCTTGGCTCTAGGTGTGTAAAATTTGAAGGTCTTTTTTTTTTCTTTCCCCATATAACCTTATTCTTAAACGTTAAGCAGATACAAAATATAAGTGAATTTGTAAGAAACTCACTTTCCTAAATGAGGACAGGGAAGAGTGGTGATAGATGGGAACATGATGAGAAAAGAGAAGGGAAATAGGTTCTATCTTTAAAATATTTCTATCTACCTAGTAGTAAACTCCCAAGGGACTATGTTCCTCTCCCAAGACAAGAACTCGTTATTTGGGGCTAGTTCCCTTTTGAAGAATCTCTTGAGATTGTAAGAATTTGTTTCTCAGCAACAGAGACACACTGCGTTTTGAGCAACTGGAGAGTTTTCTGCATTGAGAAACAGTCCCCATAGTAAGTAGGTGTGTGTGTCATCGAAAAAATCAAATACATCCATCCACACCACACCCTTCATGCTTATCCTTCCCAGGGCCTGGCAAGGTCTATTTCTGTCCTTTTTATTTGGTTATTCAGCTTTTAAAATGTTCATTCTATATGTATTGAATTTCATAAACTATCTTACAATTTTCAGAAATGAGCATTTTACAAGTGACAGTTTC